GAATATGCTGCAAGATGCTTTACTCTGGGAGGTGCTTTATTATTTTTTCAGGTTCTGTGATCTTTGTTTATTTGAATGCCTGCTTGTACACGGAGACGCTCTGATGCTCTGGCACTCTCTTGTGCACGGACTCGTGCACTTTTATGAACTCAGGCAGTCTCTGCTCAAGCTCTGTCCCGTATCTGCTGTCCAGGACGATGTAGTGGTAGTCCAGCGGCCCAAACAGCATGATATTCTCTACGAGGTTCTCCTGGATGGTGTCGTACTCTAGAAGGCGCAGCCTGTACTCCTTCCCCTGGAATCTCCTCTTCTTCTCCAGGCCCTTCGCAAGTTCGAGGATGTTCGGGTTATTATCTACAGTCCGCGTCACAATCCGCCTGTGCCCAAGGTACGTATTCATTGGGAGCATATACGGGTTGAACGCAGAGAGTATGAAGACGGGCTCATTCCTTGCCTTCAGTCGGGCTGTGCAGTCTCTCCTAAGATATTCCAGGGGTCTGCTTATGTTCTGATGGTCTATCCCCACGAGTATTCCCACGGCGAGATTCCCTATGAAAACGTACTTGGAGAAGAGAAGGCCCTTAAGAGAGCGAGATGCTGTCCTCCAAAAGGTCTTCTCTGCTGCTTTCTTCGGAGAATCCCCTGCGGAAAACGCACTTTTCAGGTTTCTTGCGACGATAATGTTCAGGCACGGAAGAATCGGCAGTAAAAACCGCATTTCCTTATGCGCAATTATCCCGTGGACTGCCAAGTACAGGGCCGGACTCACGAACTCCACGGAGCTCCAGCGAATTTCACACGCCAAAAGCATCGCTGCATACGCCCCCAGGAGGACGCAGAGAAACATCGGGGCAAAGACAAAGGGCAGAACTCCGAAGAAGTGCGAGACCTTGTGCATCATATTCACGCGGTAAAACTCGAAGAGCGAGCAAACGGGCTCCCTGTAGAAGGCGGAGTCGATGAGTATGCAGGAGAAAAGTGCAATTCCTGCAGAAGCCAGGTTATACAGGCTGATGATTCTGCTGTGCCTCACATAAACTGCCAAGTACCTGAAAAAGTACCTGAAAAAATTTCCGTTATTTTTTTCTGAAATTTTTTCCTTCGTCATCCACGCCCTGTTGAAAGAGGAAATTTCCTGGGAAAGAGCGTACCCCCAGGCGCACGCGGAGTTTACGACGGAAGTTGGCCGGATGTACGCCATTACTGCGGTCATAAGGACCGTCACGAAGTGGAAAGTTCTTTTCTCGGCCTTATCCCGGACCTGGGCGGACTTCAAAAGGCGGTGGAGGATGTGGACAGTCACCGCGCACTCGAAGGAGTTGACGTGGGACCTCGTGGAGTAAAGCCACAGCCCGAGGTTAAGAGTTGTCGCTAGAACAGCTTCTCTTGGGACCTCCTGCGGGCCTATTTTGAAGAGAAGTTTATACGCTTCTACGGTGCTGTAGTCTCCAACGGCTGCAATAACTGCCGTAACTGCTTTTACGACGTAAGGAGCTCCCGCCATGAAGAGAAGTCCCTCCGTGCGCGAAGGTTCTGCAGAGTATATGCGCAGAAACCTCTCCGCCCACTCCGAGAGAAGGTGGAACCCCTTCAAAGGAAGAAGAAAAACAGAGACAAAAACAAAAGAGCGAACTCCAAAGAACCACTCCCACGTGAAGACTTTTTTCCCAAGAATCACCGCCATAGCCACCTCCACGGACTGGAAGTATTCATCCGGCTCAAAGTGTGTCTTCAGAAGAAGGGAGTTTACAAGCCTAAATCCAACGAGAGAGGGGAAAAGGAGCGAGCTTCTGCTGAGTCTGCGTGGCATAAATAAAAACATTTTTATTTTTCATTTTTATTTCTTCGCCTTTTGTTTTTTTCTTTTCCCAGTCGCTCGCTTCTTCTTTGCAGGCTCTTTCTCCCGTACCATCTGAGTGAGCTGGTGCGAGATAGATGCTCTTCTAATGGATCTTCCTGGAGTGACGGGATCAGCACAGGGACGAGAAGTACTTGGAGTTCCAGGGCAAATTTCAGGGACAGTTTCATCGCCTGCTGTCCGTGAGACAGCACTAACTGCACTTTCCTCTGTTGGTTCCTCCGTTGGTTCCAGAGTCACTGTCTTCTCAGAGTGGAATGATATGGACTCACTGCCTTTAGTCTCGTTAAGTTCGTTAAACTCAGCTGGTTCAGAGCCCACTTTCTCATTAACTTCATCGGCTATTGGTTCATCTGCTACTACAGTCTCGTTAAACTCAGCAAGTTCAACATCGGCTATTGGTTCAACTATAGTCTCTTGAACATCGGCTATAGTCTCAGCATCAACATTAACTTCTTCAACTTCAGCTATTGGTTCAACTACAGTCTCTTCGGCTATAGTCTCTTGAACATCGGCTATTGGTTCAGCAAGTTCAACTTCAGCTATTGGTTCAGCATCAACTTCTGCTATTGTTTCAACTACAGCCTCATCAACTACTACAGTCTCTTCTGCTATTGGTTCAACTACAGTCTCATCAGCTACTTCAGTCTCATCAACTACTACAGTCTCTTCTGCTATTGCTTCTTCAACTACAGTCTCTTCTGCTATTGCTTCAGCTACAGTCTCATTCGCTATTGCCCCATTAACTCGATCGTGCATTATCGTCTCGTCTGCGAGGAGGGTCTCTCCCCCGAGGACGGAGTGATCTTCTGCGGGTGCCTCCACGAGGAGTTCGCTGTCCAGCTGCTTGCTGCACTCCCCGGGGGTCACTCCTGCGAGGCTCTTCGCGTCTGCGGGATCCTCAAACGGGATTCCCTCGAAGATGCTGATCCTGGAGAGGTTGAACGCTCCCTCTGCCTCCTCCTGCATCTCCCGGAGTCCGCGTGCCTCCTCCTGCGCCCTGACGTCGTCCGAGTGCATTTCCGGCTCGAGTTCGCGGTCTGTTCCGTTTGAGAGCTCGTCCATGTCGACTCTCTCGAGGAAGTCTGAGATGATCTTCTCCGTTCCCTCCGAGATCTGAAACTCTGCGAGCTCCGTGAGGCTTACGCCCTCCCACTGTCCGTGGCCCTCCTTTATGCTCTCCTCGATCGAGAAGATGCGGGCTTCCTCGCTCGAGCTCTCTTCCCCCGACTCGTCCTCCTCGCTCTCTTCCTGCTCCTCCTGCGGGGGAGTTTCTGTTTTTTTCGCCTCTATCCGCTCCTGCGGGATGACGGCCTTTGTGATTCTGAAGAGTCTCTCTGCTGCCTCTATTATGCAGGGATAGTGCATTTTCAGCTCGCTCGTGACTATTTCCCCGTTTATTTTGACCCTTCCGGAGACGACCCGGAGGACGTCGTTCTTGTAGTCCAAAACGCACTCCAGCGCGTCCCCGTGGGAGAGTTTCACATCTGCTGTTGGGCCCGTGCCTATTGTGCAGACTTCCCCGATAAAACTGACTCTCTTTGCAGCCCCATCCGGGCAAAGCAGCTCCAGCCCATACTCCTCGCGCGTCTTCGCAGTGTCTTGCATAAAAATTAAAAAAAGAAGCGGATAAAAATACACCCAGTACGGGACTCGAACCCGCGGCCCTCAGATTAAGAGTCTGATGCTCTACCGACTGAGCTAACCGGGTCACGGTTAATCACTGAATATTTGCCTCGCTTTATTTTGCTGTCTTCTCAGCGCGAGAAAA